TAGTGTATTTTACAACATATTATCTATACTATTTATTTTCAAGATTTTCATATGTTTATGGACCTACTTGATTTTAATCATCTTTAAAATTTATAATTTTATAATTAGATATAAAAATAGATTTTGAGATAATTCTAATAACCTTTGACATAAAAATTATAAACCATGATAAAATTTGAAGGTGTACATTGCCTCTACACCTATGGATGCATCCGTATGCAAACTGCACCTTTATTATAATGAAGCGATGATGATATATGAACATAATTTAGACCATGCTAGGGAAGGGGTTCAACCCTTGTGCCAATTTTAAGTTACTGATTTGTTTTTATATTTTGGATTATTTATTCCTATTGTTTCAGATATTTTTGGAAGGGAGATACAAGTTTTTTCTAGTTATCAGGGTTTGAGTGAGTTAGTCAACTAATTCAAACTAAAATGCACAACCACTTATTTCAGACCTGAAATTTCACATATCAATATTCTCGACCACCATGATCACGAATTTGGAGAGAAGGAATTTTGAGGCTTATAAATAGTCATTTTTATTATATTAGAACTTTAACTATTTTTGTAGCTGCAAAATCCTGGACCTAGAGTAAACTGTTGTAATTTAAAATGTGTTTCATATCCTAATCCATATAAACCACCATACGTCCAATGACACAAAGCGAACTTTCCCGTGGTTGAATTGCATGGCTTTATTATTTCATGCTACTTTGTGAGGCCTCTTAATCCGATTATGATCCAATCTTAAACCTATTTTCTAAAGCCGCCAATTATATGAAAGTCTTGAGAGATCTAGAAAGACTTTTAAGCATGTAGTGATGCACGAGTACAACTTGTGCCCCTCAAGAGCGTGCGAACCACTTATGTTGAAAGGCCCCATTTTCACATGCATGCAAATGTTCAATTATCATGATTTGTTTTTCATTGAATTGTTCAGTTGTAGGAATCAAACTTGTGATGTAGTGTCGTTAATATCAATTGCTAACCAATCAAGCCCAATCCCGAAAATATCGAAGGTGTTGGGTTCAACCTACGACCTCCCTTATTCAAGTAAGAAGCTATGGGAATCGCACACTTGTGAGCCAAGAAATGTGCTCTCATGTGACTAAACAACCATGGAGAACTTAACTTCTCCGTGGCCTTTTCTCCATGCCAATATTTATCTGTGAATTTCCCTCTCAATATGTTAAATGATCACGCTAAATTCACAACTAAGAGCATGTGTAGATTCCACCAAAAAATCGTGCTCCTATATTTTCTCTATGGGTGGCAATGAGCCCGGACCAGTAAAACGATTATGGGACCTGAATTCGGACCCATACCCGAACCCATTCGGGCCAGGCTCGGACCGAATTCGGAGGTATCTGACTCCATTCTCATCAAAGGTTAGGACTCCATTATCACCCAAAGGTAGGTGCCCAAATCCCCATTGACTTGCTACTTTTGTTTACCAAAAAACAAATTATATCCAATTTTAGTGTAACACTTATCGTTATCTGACTGGGAACTACTATAGTACTGGAATACATGATTAATGAAATTAAATATTCCATAAATCAAACACACCCTTACCGATACAAAGTTTCGAGCTCAGCCTTTAATTACCAAACTAAGTTATTGTACCTTTTTTGTGAAGGTTTTGAACATGTTGATATAACCCTCCATAAATTGGAAAATTTATATCCAATCGTGGAACATGATTTTTTTTTCGAAGCATTTTCATAGTATGTGTTGTTTTTTTTCTAACAAGGCCAGACAATTGCTATTAGTTAAAGTCTTATCTAAAGGAGTAGATGTACATTTTGCTCACACAAGACTATGTAATCATGCATGAATCAACTCTTATGGCACACTTGGTTCGCGTGAAATTGTTTTATAGAAAATAATTTTCACATGAAAAAGTTATCTCGTGCAGTTAGGTGTGATAATATTTTCATACCTACTGGTCTTAGCACATCTTTTCACACCGATTGACAACTAATGGATATAACAAATTTAACACACGTAACCACAAGAGATAAATTTTTCATATGAAATTGTTTTTCAAGAAACAATTTCACACCAACCAAACATGCCCTTAAACCTTTGAGATTTTCGAGTACCAAATGGGAATGAATTTTTTTGAACCCAACTGTTCGAATACTTTAGATTTCCAGGTACTACTTAGGAATGACCTATACATTTATTGAGCCCGTCCCATTAGTACTATTGCTTTTTCGCGGCCTATGGGGACTAAGAAGATACAAAAGTGACTACTCTCTCTCTCCATGTATCCAAGAGATAAAAGTTTATACGAGTTATAAACCTTTTACCATCCATGAAAGTAAGGCCTTAATAACCACTTAAAGATATTCGTTAGAAAAATCTCAAATTTATCATTTTGACTGTTAAAATAACTCTCATATTGATCATCTCGACTTTAAGATGCATAAAAATATAAATTTGAAGTTTCAAGCCATAAAAGCAATACATTTCGTAGTATCTAATAACAAACTATCAAACTTTCAAAAATTGAAGTACGGGCGAGGTGCGCACCTCTAAATATTGTTTGGACTCTGGGGATATGGTTTGGATGCAAGAATTATGCGATGGCTTGAAAATCTACATCCAACCCTCCAATGAAGTTTGAAATATAAAAATGTACATAATATGCAAATCCATAGATACTTCAAAACCTTGAAAATATACCAACTTACTACAATATGTATTACTTTTTGGACTTTAAATTATTACTTTTGTTTTCATATTCATACATTTCAAGGTCGAGATGAAGAACTGAAAAGTTTCCCAATGTCATAACACTCTCCTAGAGGATTTTTGAGATGGACCTCGCTCCAATATTATAATGAAGGATGACACCTTATTAGGGTGGCAATGGACCTGGAAGTGACATGGGACTCGAGGGGTAAACCTGAACCGGGTCTGGGTATGGATAAAAAAATTGGACCTGACAGGTAGACCCAATATGGGACCGGGTATGGATCCAAAAAATGGACCCGACGGGTTGGGTCCGGGTCCAAATCTTGGACTTGGACCTTAACACTTTTCAGGTCTAGGTCAGGTTCTAGGTCTAAATATATTTAAATAAAGTTAAATATATAGAAAATTTTTAATTTTTGGGTTGGATATGGCTCTCATATTATTTTTTTCAGGTTTAGCCCCTTTACCTCTCCTGCACCTAATACAAACGTTTTTCTAGATAAGTGGAAAATATATAATGATACCATTTACCTTGGTACAAGGTGGTCCCAATTAATCTTGACTTGTAAATTTGAGTGGCTGCATTTATTTTATTGACCAAACTCAAAGTTCAAAAAAATAATTCTCGAACTTTATGACATGACCAATCTATCAGATTTCACATCGAATGGTGGTAAGCAATTGTGACCTCTCTGTATCAAAAGATAAATTTCTCATTTAAAAAAAATCCCATTTAGACATATGCTCCATTTTGCCAACCTTAAATTTCATGTGGATCTTCAATGGAATGTGCGTTGCTCAAAGGTCGACACCTTATGGTGTTAGCGTATGGATATATCATTATGGATACATAACAGTATGGATATGTATGTATATGAGTATATATCTCTTGATAAGGTTAGATGTCAAGCATCTCTTGATTATGATAGTAATTATCAATAATGTCTATCCACAACTGTTAGCCATATATTTATATAGGGACTTGTATATTATTTATTAATTAATAAAAGAGAGAGTATTATGAGTTTCTAATATGTTATTAGAGCCATAGGCTCCTCAACCTCAAATCTGAGCTCGCCAACCTCAAATCTGAGGTCGGGAAATTTCAAGACCGTCTGCCCATTATTGGCTCATATTCGTTTCGAAAGGGAAATTTCAAGACCGTTTGTCTTCTGTTGGTTCATATTCGTTCCGAAAATTTCGTCTGTATCTACCTCACATTGTAGGTATCATCTCTCTCTCCCTTGGGCCTGAAAAATCAAGCATACCTCGTTCTCTTTCTAGAACTCCCTCTTTCTCTCTCTCTAGAAGCTAGTTCCGGCCGGTCAAGTGTAACTTTCTCTTTGATCAATTGTAACTCCCTCTCTTTGTCTAATAATATCTAATATCTTTGACTTAGCAGTTATCCTTGCAACTCTGTCTCTAAGCTTTATCTCTCTAGATTTTACCCATATCTTTGTCTCCTTTTTGGCTTCCCTCTAGATTTTACCCCTCTCTTTCTCTCTATTTCTCTATATTCTGGTTGCCACTTTCTCGCTCCTTCCTTCTCTTTTCCCACTCCAGAGCTGGTACTCTCTGTTAGCGTATGGATATATCATTATGGATACTTATCAGTGTGGATATGTATGTATAGAGGTATATATCTCTTGATAAGTTTAGGTGTCTAGCATCTATTGTTTATGATAGTAATTATCAATAACGTGGATAATTATCAATAATATCTATCCACAATTGTTGGCCCTATATTTATATAGGGTATTGTATATTATTTACTAATTAATAAAATATATAGTATTATAAGTTTCTAAATAGAGCCATAGGCTCCTCGGCCTCTAATTTGACTTCCCACCTCAGATCTGAGGTTGCCGGATCTGAGCTCAGCTTCATGTTACCAGATCTGAGCTCGGCTTCAGTTTCATTCCGACTCTTTGTCAAACAACTGCACCCTCTTTAATGTTCTCTCTCTCTATTTGTGCATATAATAATATTCCTCATTCGCTTTATCTGTTATTAATATGGGATTCATGCTGCATCCCATTGTTTGATCCATTTACAATCCATCAATCATCTCGGCTTCAATTTCTTGTGAATTTCCTTACCTTTACATCCGTGGTGCGCAGTTCAAATTCAATCACATCCAATTGAGGGCCTCATCTCATTTTTGATATCTTCTCCCATTTACACAAAAACTTCAGCTCTCATATTCATCCATGGTTGAATCAATTAACACTAGCAGTTTCACGAGAGAAACTCATAAACCAAATAAGCACTGCCAAAGGCCTCCGAGTCCTTTTTCGACTCTCTACTGAGTCTGTTTCGACTATCTGCAGTGTCTGATTCGGCTCTCTGCTAAGTCTGTTTCGACTATTTGCAGTGTTTGATTCGACTATCTGCCAAGTTTGTTTAGACTATCTGCAGTGTCTGATTCGACTCTCTGCCGAGTCTATTTCGACTCTCTGCCGAGTCTATTTCGACTCTCTACCGAGTCGTGTTTCGACTTTATGCAAAACAACATTTGTCTTTGTTATGGACTGCGAGTTGCTGAATATGTCTCGGGCTGCGAGTTGTTAAATATGTATTAGGCTGCAAGTTGCTGAATCTGTCTCGGATCTACATCAATTTTTGTTGGTTATTCCAAGTGTAATTTTGTGTTTGTTTCATCTATCTTTGATCTACACTGAGTTCTGTTGGTTCTTTAAAGTGTCATGATGTGCTTGTTTCAAGAAATCTATAAAGTTCCAACTAGTTCGTTTATGCAATTTATTATTCAAACTCTAACTGCTTTGTGTAAATGGCAAACTTTCTATATTTCTCCTACAACATATAAATTATATTATCCCCTTATCCTCCATTCTGAATGGAGGGCTAAGATTGGCCCAATCACAATGTCATGTCTCTACACTATTTTCTTTTTAATTTTTTTCTATAAGCTATGTTGACACCAAATTTTGGACGTCCATTACTCTATTAAAGTCTCACTAGCAAAAAATATAAAAAAATAATTTCAATAAAATAAAATAACCAAAATACTTTTGAAAGTTTCAAGAGGTATTTTGGTCATTATATTTTATCAAAAAATTATTTTAAATATTTTTTATAGATGCACTTCAATGAGAGACGGCACAAACTAAATTTCATATTCATATAATTTGTATAAAAAAAACTAAAAATAAAATACTTTGAGACGTCAGATCTAAGATCAAACAATGAGTGACTTAATTGATAAAAAATAGACGACTGGATAATAGGGGGATGATAGAACTTCTATGTTTGGAGGGAAAACATATAAACCTTTCATTTGTATAAAAACATCTTGAGTTTGAAGGGCGTGTAAGCATATGGATATATCATTATAAATATGTAATAGTATGAATATGTATATATATGGGTATATATATCTCAATAAAATTAGATGCAATAAGTATCTCAATATTAGTTAGTAATTATTAATAATGTGGGTAATTATCAATAATGGAGTATTGCATATTTTTTATTAATTAATAAAAGAGAGAGTATTATGAGTTTTTAGTACCCCATATAAATATATATATATCAAGCGATAGATACCCATATACATACGTATCCATACTATATAATGATATATCTATACGCAAATATGTACAAGAAGCACCCTCTCTCTCTCTCTAAAGTCGAAGGGCAGTAATTGCTGGTGCCAACGTCCTTGAAAATGGCAGAAGTTGGTGCCGATGCAGAGGAGGAGAAGCCCAATTTCATCAGAGAAGAAAACCAGCATTCTTTTCAATCCCACCAAAAACCAGAGGAGGAGATTCCATGGATTGAATACGCAGTCCAGGAAGCTGAATCCATTAAGAAAACGTTAATGGAGGCCACCGACTCGGCCCTTGAAGCTACTAGGTCTCGGCTCTTCGATATCCATGCCACCTCTTCAGCTCATTTCTATCAAGCAAAGGTACCCATCCCCCTTTATTTTTTTCATAGAGCAGATTTATTATTGTAGGGTAAATTCCCGTTTTGTTCATGTTTTATTTTTGCCATATACATGGATTAATCATCAAACATAGAAAAAGTTGGCACGGATTGGTTTTTCTATTTGCTTTATCTCTATGTTTTTCTCTCTGTTCCATTGTCTCTCTGATGAAAATCTATACCGTTATAGGTTTCAGTGTTCTTTATTATCATTCAATGGACAAATTTCATCACGTTGGTGTCTATCTCAATGTTATTATAAAACAACTAAAGAAAAAATTACAGTTACTCTCTCTCTCTCTCTCTACGCATTTCAAAATCAAAGTGGGTCTAAATTTCTGATTTAAAATGTTATCATGGATGGCATTTGGTTGTCTAGAAAATGAAATTAACCTTGACTGGGTTTTCTCTCTCTCTTATGCTCCATGGCTTTTATGTTACATTATTATCCATCAGTAGTGGGCTTTATTAGTCCTGATTCCTAATGTTTAAAAAAGTATGAAAAGTTATCTCAGGGGGCAATTGGGTTGTGCTTGTGATTGGCTGGATTAGTGAAAGGTTGCATGCTGTTGAATGAAAGGGTTACTATCTGTGGGTTAACTTGTTGAAGTCTATATTAAGCCATGTCTTATGGTCACAAAATGATGTGCACTTGTATTTCAGTTTGACCACTTGTTTTAAATGCTTTGATATTTTTGATGGCTTCCTTTTTATATAGTTGAGTGAAAATGCTAACATCCATCCCCCCCCATGAAAAAATTATAGTAGAGAATAGTGAGATATGTAATGAAGCGGATCACAAGCATCCAAAGTACCTGTTCACCCTTTAAAATGAGCAAATTTAGGAATGTATTGGTCCCTCTCTTGGCTTTTTTAAAGCTTCACTTTAGTTTAATGGACCATGCTCTTTGCTTTCTTTGGTTAAAGATTTACATTAATCGCTATGTCTTGTAAAACAATGTTGAACTAACTATTAATAGTCACAAGTACAGTGGCGCCTTGCCTGCATCCTAGTCACTCCTCCACCTTGTCCTTCTACTATCTTATACTATCTCCCAACGTACCCACTTTGCAATCTCTAAACCCTACTTGTCAATCCTCAGGCTCAACCATAGTGACTCTTCCTCCTCATCATTCCCATTCCCTGACATCTGCACCCCTCTAACATTTCCTTTGGATAAAAACCAATTCAAGTCTTAAAATCCCCACCTCTACCCTCATTGGGGTAGGGGTGGTATGGACTTTCTTGCCTTTCTCTTATTCATTCCCTCCCTAGCACTCGGCTCGCCACCCACACAAGAACAATACCTAACCTTAAACATGTCCAATATCAATCCTTCCCCAAGTTACTACAACTACTGTCACCTCATACTTGCCAAACACCACTCTCCACCAACCACCGCCCAACCCTAAAACACAAAACCAGAGTGATAACAACCTCACCCTGAACCCATGGCCACAACCACAAACTGTTTTTTCCAACACTGGAGTCACCCAGTCTGAAAATCATTCCATCAGCATTTAATGAGACTACATCACCGAGATAATCAACTATCTAAAAATCTCAGCCATCATCACTTTCCATCGTTTTGGAAATTATATTACAGGTACTCAACCATGGGTATCAAAGATTCAAGGACCTAACATCCAATGCAGACCACAACGTAAACAACTATCTTTGGGGAGGTTCCTTTGCACCTTTCGCTCACAATAAACTCGCACCACAGCTCTAACTTCATCGTGGCTTGACTTCATCTTTGGGGAGGTTCCTTTGCATCCTTCCTGATACAAAACCTGTCTTTCTGGGCCTAAACTGTTGCATTTTGAACTTAGGTGGCTCAATGGCTCGCATTTCACAACTTGGTTACCCACTAGTCTGTCATTTGCGGTCCAAGGGTGGGCCAGATATAGATCCAGAGAAAACTCCGACTCCCCAAAGTAAAACAATAAAAAATTGGAGTTGTGCCCTGCCAGTCAATTTCTGATGAGCCAAACAAACAATCCTCAATGCGATCCATGACCTCGACACCCAAGAGGAACATAGAAACCTCCATAAGTAGAGTTCCTAACCAGGCTGCTTGCAAAAGAAAGATACTTCACCATTCTAAAACACGAGAAAGCCTTTGGTACCAAAGGTCCAAAATCAAATGGTTAAAAGTAGGAGACTGGAACACTGTTTTTCTTTTTTTCCACAAAATAGCAAACAACCAACATAGTACAAACCAAATCTCCCATATTACAGTCGCAAACCAAATCTATGAAGAACCAGTATCCATCTCCGGTCACATGCACTCTTTCTTCCAGCCAACGCTGAACTGTCCTTTTCAAGTTTCACCCTTGAGCAAAGCTGTAGCCTGTAGGTTTACAGAGATCACTTTCAGAAGAGGAAGTCCTTCATACAAGCTCAGACTTGGACTAGGACATAGCATTGGTTCAAATAGCTTTCCGATGGCTCCCGCTCTCATTTATGAACAATTATGGCCCTTGATATCTTAGCTTTTTTCAATTAATTCCACCATAGAGGTAGGATACACATCTAAAAGCCACTTTTTTTTTTTGAGAGAAGGTTAACATCATCTAAATCTAAATGCCACTTTTGTGTTGCTAATACCCAAATTAGAAGGCGCACGGGAAACTTAGACATAGTTTGCTCAATTCTTCATTATGAAAATCTTGTGAAGGTCCTAGCTACCAGACATGGGGAGGTTCTCTCCCATATTATCTCCCACAATCAAAATGCTTTTGTAAAAGGCAGGCGGATATTAGATGGTGCTTTGTAGACCACGAGGCAATCCATATTAGACATACTGCCAAAAAACCAGGCCTCATTGTAAATCTAGATTGGGAAAAGGCATTCGACCACGTAGTTTGAAGGCTATTCGATGTAGCTACGCAAAGAATGGGATTTGGCGCAAAATGGAGAAATTTGATTCAGTGCTGTGTCTCCTGGGCCTAGTTTCCATCCTCATCTATGGCGCACGTTGTGGTTCTTTTCCCTCCTCTAGCAGCCTAAGACACGAAGTTCCTCTGTCTCCTTTCATTTATGTTATTATGGGTGAAATTTTCAGTAGAACCATCTCAAGACTCTACCTTGGGGGAACCTTTCTGCCTTCAAGTCTTCCGCCAATGGACCTGAAATCTGTCTTCTGCAGTATGTATGCTGATGACACCCTCATTTTCTGTGATATCTCACTCCAAGAAATGGACACCCTATGGTTTTTCCTCAGGTGTTTTCAGGTGTCCAATGGAGAGAAGATAAATATGGCCAAATCCAAATTTTATGGGAATGACGATAAATATGGCCAAATCCAAATTTTATGGGAATGACGATAAACATGGCCAAATTCAAATTAGTGGGCATTGGTGTAAGCACTTAATCACTTGGGCATTTTACAGTCTGTTTTGGTTGTGGATCTGAAACACTTTGCTACAATTATGTGGGCCTAGCATGGTGCATAGGAAAACTGAGGAAATCTATGGGGGATCATGTGGTAGAGAAATTCGAAAGAAGACTTACTGCCTGGAAGGAAAGATTTCTTCTATTAGGAGGTCAAATTGCATTGGTCAAAGCCACACTTTTGGACATTGCTATTTACTTCTACTCTTTATTCCACATGCCAGCAAGTGTGTCCAAAAAGCTAGATCAACTTATGTCAAGCTTTCTTTGAACCGGGGATGCAAACACAAAAAGGTTCAACTAGTGGCATGGGATAAGCTATGCACTCCATAATCTGTAGGAGGTCTTGGAGTCCGGGGCCTGAAATCAACTAAGCTAGCCCTATTGGGAAACTGGCAGTGCAGAGTCGCCAACCAGCAGGACTGATTATGGCAATGTGTTGTGCTACATAAATATGGTCTTGACCATAGCAGGATGTTTTCCCAAAGGTACTCGGCGACAAAATACCTCTGGGGCCTGGAAAAGCATTCTTGCTAGTCAAAACCCCTTTATGACTCGTACCCGATTCAAGATAAACAGCGGAAGTAAGGTGCAATTCTAACAAGACATATGGCCGGGTGATAAAGCTTTAAAGGATCACTGGTAAGGTCTATACAATATTGCCATTGATCTCTGTGCTATGGTGGCTTCTCGCTATAACACTTCTCCTGTGTGAGTCTTATGGATTCCCAAATTTAGAAGGAACCTCTACATGATAAGGAGACACAAGAGTTTCCCCATACGTGCGAAGTCCTCAAAACTATATTTATTCCAGCCAGGGGAGAAAATAGAATCATTCGGTCTTTGTCTGTCTCAGGCATCTCTTCTGTGTCCTCTTTCTTTAAATTTTTCCACAATTTCCCTGATCATTGTACCACATCTCATAGAAAAGTATGGCTCTCTCCAACTCCACTCAAAGTACATGCTTTCGACTGGTTGATAATTGCCAATAAAACTCTCGCTGTTGAGCAACTCCAAAGAAGGGGTTTCTCCTTATCCTGTAGATGTGTATTTTGCAGAAGTGCCAAAGAATCCATGGGCACCTATTTCTACATTGCCTGATTGCTGCTGAGCTATGGGCAAAGTTACTGCAGATTTTCAACCCTGCTTCAACCCAAAGGTTGTTTGACGCTTTTCTGTCTGCCATACCCAACAGCTGGTCACTTTCTTAGGAGAGCCTCAATCCTGTCCACAATTTTTCAGTAATTTGGTTTGAAAGAAACCAAAAAATATTTGAGGGGAAGGAATGTACCACCTCAGCCATTGCACAGAACATTAGGGCACCACCATTTTCTGGGGAAAAAATTATAGGCGCCTGGAATGTTTCTCTCATAGAGATTTTGACTCAAAATGGCACAACATAATATTTATTCATTGACCCAAGAAACCACAGTTTTCCCCACCATGGAGGTGATGGCTTCTCACTAGGTAATCCAGGGCCTAGCGGTTTTGGTGGTGTCTTTGGAGATGGTTCAGGGCATGTGCTACTCACCTTTTCAGGGTAAATAAGCCACAAAACTCCAACGCAGCCGAATAGGGACTAAAGAGGTTTCAGCCGGTTTGTGGTTGTACTGTAACGTGGAGGGTGACTCAATCGATGTCATTCAATGAACATCTAGAGTAGTCCCACAGCCTTGGAGACTTGCTCACATGTTTGATCACATTTTCCATCTATTCAGGAACTCAGTTGTCTCTTTCCATCACATTTGGAGGGAGATGAGCTCAATGGCTGACATGCTGGTTGGGAGGGCACGGTGCCACTCAGGGGATTATATCACACAGCAGCTATTTTCATCTTCTTTTCCCTCTGGTTATTTTTTACTCTTCTATACTGTCTCTGTCATACCTTTCTCACTCTTTTCTATCTTCTCTTCTCTCTATAGTTCTACTTTGTCCACAGGGACCTCTACCTATTTTTTTCCATACTTCACTCTGTCCGTTTCTGACCATGCTTATGAGTCCCTCTTTATTTTGATATGTAGTGGGACCCAGCTAACCCCCATTATTTTTTGAAATATTAACTTTTGACATGTAAGACTTGTACTCTGAGCAACTAGTGTGGGATGGCTCGTTAACATCGCCTTTTGTGGGTTATTTTTGGAATATCTTTTGATAATACAAAAGCTATGCACGTTACCTTTCAAACAAAAAAGAAAAAAGGAAAAAAAAACATGCACATTAATCACTCTATGCTCTATGAATTTGATCCAGTGTATAGCTTAATATTCTAGGCATGGTTTATCCATGGAGAAACCTGTGGTTGAGCCATCGTGAATGTTTTTGTTGGTTATTTAGGAAGCTCTTTTGGATGTCAAGACCAAGTACAGCGAATATGAAGATTCCATGTTCGGGAAAGTTAAGGGTATGTAAAGAAACTAATTATTACTATTTTGTTTTTTATGTGGGTATGCAATTGCTTCCTTGCAATGTCTCAATTCATTATTTATGTTTTATGGAATGGTTTTGTCTTTGCTGTGAATGGGTCTTGGTGCAGAGGGGTTGCTTATTGCTGCATCTCATCCATCCCTTGCATGTGGGGTGGCCGTTGGATCGGGAGTTCTCATTATGAAAAGTAACTTCGGTTATCCTTTTGCATCTAGTATCTAGAATTCATTTGCATTTGGATGAATATATATTAATTTCTCATTTAAACAGAGAGTTCCTAGGGAGTGGCTAAGAATATTTGCAATGATATTTTGATCAATTTTGATGTCAGTGACTGTTACCATTATGTTATTAATGTGTTCTGATATTGTATGAAAAAATGTTTACATCATCTTTAGAAAAGATTGGTTAAAATTCCACAATTATGAGCAAGTGAACTACTTAGGTGTTACCTTGTAATTGATCTGCATTATTCATGTTTTGTGATCATGTATATCATTTTACATTATATTGAGTGTGTTTGGTGTTTCTTGCCCCTTAAGTTGTTTATATCTTGTAGGACCGAGGCGTTACTTGTTTAATAGTGTGCAACGACTTTTTGTGAGTGAAGAGGTAGGTGCCAAGTCTACGGACCAAATCTTTTTTTTCCCATATGCTAGAATTCAATTTAGGCTTGAACTCTATGGCAGAAACATTATTGTATTCATGCTTAAGAAATTTGGTTCGCCTGTTGTTTCCTTGTTTTTGGGTGCAGTCCATGCTTGCAAGTGCAGAAGCCAAGGTGAAAGAATTGCGACAATCGATTGAGTTGGTGAAGAATGAAAGCAAGAAATTAGAGGTATCATTTTAAATTTTTTTAACTATCTTGTCTTTTTTTCTTTTTTTTTTCTTGCTAACTATTATTCTCAACTCATTCAGTACTTTTATTAGTTATTTGTTGCTTGAATATATATTTTTTGTTTTTTCGCAATTTTTTGCATTTTATATGTGTTCCTCTACTTGCAGGGAAGATTCTCAATACTATGATAAGATGATTTACAGCTACTTATGGCAGCAACAGTATATATTTGTGACCTGCCCAAAGAAATCAGAAATAATGTAGAATAAAGTAAAATGATGTTTTTGTAATAACGAAGAATGTTTACTGCCAGGACGTCTTCATTTTCTCAGGATATTTACCAACCTTGATGACTTTAATAACTTAAGGTCGGACTGTTTGAATAGGAGGGTAACTTTTATAATGCTTCCTCTAAATACTTATCACTGGAACTTCATTGTTCTTTTCAAGGATTAAAAACTTAACACAATAGCTTTTTTTTTTTTTTTTTTAAAAGAGCTATATGGTAGTTTGAACGCACAGGGTCAGTAGCTGATCGCCTTGCCTCTTCCTACTTGGATGTTTTAATTCTCTCAATTTCCATGTCCCTGGGTCATTCCATGGCAATTCTATGAAAACTGGATCTGATTTCATGGTTTAACTGATTGGACTAGAAATTGGCCCTATAGGGGTTCTATTAAAGAAAAGGGATTGTATACAATGAGACCATTTACATTTGATACAAGGTGGCCACAATTGTTTATAACAATTTGATGTGAAATCTGATAGCTTGGGTGTGTCACAGTTTGAGAAAATTTCTTTTGAAGTTTGAGTTTGGTCAATGGAATTAATGCAGCCATCCAATTTCACGTCCAATTGTCAAGATTAATTATGACTACCTTGTACTAAAGGTAAATGGTCTAATTGTATACTTTTCCTAAAGAAAATACCTCTTTTCTAGAACCCTCAGCACTTATTTAAAAAAAAAAAGAAAAGAAAAAGGAACCTTCTTTCCTAGAAAACCATTTGAACTGGCCTAAACTCGGCTAAACACAGCCAGTTGAACCAGAAAACTAGTTGCTTGAATTAGTGAAGTTGTTAATTGATGTTACTTCTTCTTTACGTTTAATTATTTTTATCGGTCCAACTGGTTGAACCTGTAGTGAACCAAATTAGGACCATTCTTTGTTTAATCCTATGGTATGGTTTCACTTTTCTAAAAACACCATACCCTGCACATCCACTAGTCTGCTACATAATATGGTACATGGTTTGTATAACCATCGAGTAGTTTTTATAAGTTGAATGTCCAATATTTACCATTGATATATAACATTGTTTCTCACCAATTGTATTTTAGTCATCAACTAAAATAGCCCTGATTTGCATTTATGCGGCTTTGCAACTGAGTATCATTAGTATTTTCTGTGATTAAATTCAGTTGGAAATGATTAACAGATAAAATGAATTTCATTAGCTATTTTTCTTGGAAACTGTAACTGGTATTTATTTGGCCCTATACCACACTCCATGGCGAGTTTGATCAGGGTTGTTGTAAGTATTGCCAGGTATAAGATCAAGGGAATGTCTTACTTGGTATACATTTTGTTCTTCCAGAATTATATTGCCTTAGTAATCCTTTGCTTCTCGTTATTGCCTTGGATTGTTTGCAGCGATTTGCTGATTATCATTAGGGGGTTAATTATTTGATTTCCAAGCCAAGGAGACCGGTAGAAGTATTGCATGAGATTTGCATTTACAAATTCTTTGGAGATAACCTTCTGACATATACTTAGGGAAGCAAGTGAGTGAGTGGACATGGTGGCTTGGAATGGAGAATCTAGTCTGAACTGAGTTCCTCCTTTGTACTACTGTTTATGCATCTATAATCCTTTGTTTTTATACAATCAGCAATGGTGAAATTGTTGCTTTATATCTATGGGCTGTACATACTATTAGGAGGTCCTTTCGGGGGTAGATTCAATCTTCTCATGCTCTGCCTGATCACTTCCAAAAAATTGTTGTCATGAAAAAGTGCGTAAATTCATCATCATCATCCAAAAGTGAGTAAATTATGTCTCTTAAAAATCTCCCCTCTCATACAAAAGTCTGATCTATCCTTGATTAGGCTGCTTCTCAAAGTGACCAGTTTTCTTCATTGTATCGTTATTGGTCTTTATCTCCATTCTAAACCTATCAACTGTTGCATTTTGTGTATTGTGTGATTATAGCCTGCTAGTTGCAGCTGTTGTTCTATTTTCACTAGTAGCTACTGGTGAATTTTTATCTTCACTGCATGGAGGCTGTGAAAATAATTTTTATGGTTGCTAATAACATGCTACTTCGTGCTTCAAATTTTGCACACTTAAATATACCTTTCATCCCCATTTCATTTTCTTTCTTGTAACATCTGCATGTGCTATTTTTAGGTCTACCAAACGCCTTATATTTCTCAAATTAGGGAGTATGCTGGGAAGAAGGCACTAGGGACTAATGCTTATTTTTTGATCTACCTTCTTTATCTCCAGGAGAGAGCTAGACTAGCAGAAGAAGAAATGAGACGGGGCCAAACAAAGCTTAGGTAGGCATGTGAGATTTGCTTGAACGTAGAGTATACAATCTCCAGTGAACTATGTAAAACCTGAGCTTATTGGGGTCATCACCATCCAAATAAATGATGGACAGTTGATGGAGAGAGAGTTCGGACTAGGTCCGGTTCAGTTGGGTCACCCCAATGGATTGTGGTCTTCCATACCCATTGTATCATAATGTACTTTTCTTGATTGTTGCTTCAAATGCCTTCCATGCATGAACAATTCTCTCAACAACTCTATATCTTCTCCTAGTGAATCTCTTATATTCACTCTAGCTCCATTTGGAATTTATTTTGCAGACATGCAGGACATCAGATTCAAACTGCTATTCATTCAGCTTATAAGATTGAAAAGCAAGCAAGAGGTATAAATGGCTTTGATATATGGGAAAATATACCATAGTCCAATGGGCTCGCATATTGTACTCCAAGGCTTACTTTTACTGTCTGTACATTCCAGATACTCTCCCACCTTTGAGTGCCATGTGCCAGTCCATTGAGCTATTGTGTCCTTTCGCATGATATATTCCTTAATATGGTGCTGAGAAATATCTCTTTAGTGATGACATAAGAATTCCCTCTAATTTACTATGAAACTTGGAATTCCCTCTGGATGCTTTCGCAGTCATGTTTTGTGTTTTACAGGCCTAAAAGATATTCTCGGGGAGCTTCCTAGAAGAGAAGCATCTCGGTTTCGATCACAGGTGAGTCTCAGTAACCCATTCTAAGTTACCTGTTAAAAATGGCCTGATGGATAGTTTGATACCTCAAAAAGGAAAAGAAACTTACATGTATCTGTGGAAAGTATACTATAACCCCATGTACCATGGACAAACATAATCCGATGGGAATATGTAGTGATGGAGAGAGAATGGTACCCATCATGGGGTTCATGTCCTGTTCTTATGGCCCATTCTCTCCTTCACTATCTATCATTTTGTTGGATGCTGGTGACTGTTTTTTGGATTATTCAATGCTTTCGCACTTATTTTCATAATGTGAGTTTCCTTTGAGAAACACTGAAAATGTTGTTTGTATATGAAATTATTTAGTGGTATCATGCCACAAATAATTGCATACGTGATAACTTGTGAAACTGAATAGAGAAAATTACAAGGCTTTGTGTGGGAGCAGGTTAGGTTAAGGAAGGTAATTTATTATGGGCCGTGCTCATTTCTCACCTCACAATGAGGGTGGAAAGGGCTGTGGAGCCCCTTCCAAATAGAATGCAAATTGAATGCATGCATAAACATTAAAGAGGACCAAGATATGATATGGTGAAAAAAATGGATTTGGACCCCTTCCCAAAAACTATCGAAGTGTGGTGGGTTCTTTTGTTCAAGTAGGCCACTTTTTTCCAGAATGCAGTGCAGTATAGCCGAATCTCATTATTTATGCTGTCATTTCGAGATGTTTGTTTCAACCACTATTTCACCTTCCATTCCAAAGAGCAAGTTGAATTGAAGAGCTCAAATTAGGAAGCAAGGAGCAAAGCCCCAGCAAGTTTTGTCATTTGTTCAACGAGTCAGATGAAACAACTGATCGGTAAGGACTAGAGATTGCTGAATCAACTGCTCCTCCAGAATAACTGGCAATACCACTTAAGGGTGGACAGACCATCCGCCTAATGCCACTACCCACTACAACGTGCATCTTCAAGACATAACTCTTTTCAATCTTGTCCAGTGTTGGTAAGATCAATCAAAGGAGCCTAAATTTGGACTTGCTTAAGGCAAATAAAATTTGAACCACTAAGCCGTGGAACTTTTACAGATAATTTCTTATAATACTACAGAAGTCCGTTAGAATTGAAAGGTTTTAAAATTAGCCGGACAAAGACAGGGTATATGGAGTACAAATTTAGTAATAATAGGAGTACAGACGAAGAATTAGTTAAGATTGATGGTCAAGGAATATCAAAAAGAGCGCACTTTCGATAACTTGGGTCGATAATCCAGAAAAATGGAGAGATTGAGAAAGATGTCGCTATATAATTAGAGCTGGGTGGACGAGATGGATATGTGCAACCGGAGTTTTATGTGATGTGCATACCAATTAAACTCAAGGGGAAGTTTTATAGAACAACTGTGAGACCAACTTTGCTTTATGGGGCGAAATGTTGGGTGGTCAAGAAACTACATACTTTTAGGATGAGTGTAATTGAGATAGATGAGCGGCAAGACAAGAAGGGATAGAATTCGAAATGAATACATTGGGGGGAACTTAGGTGTGGCTCCAATAGGTGTTAAGGTGAGAGAAAGTAGACTTAGGCGGGCTGGCCATGTGCAACGCAGACCCAATATAATACGTGTTAGAAAGCGCAAGTTGGTTCAAGTGGAAGGCTTAAAAAGATCAAGGGGTAAGCCCAAAAGGACATGGTTGAAAGTAGTGAAAAAAATATGGCGACTTATGGTCTCACTAAGGATATGGCCTTGGATAGAGTAGAATGACAGACCAGAATTCGTGTAGCTGACCCCAAATAGTTGAGAAAGGCTCTTATGATGATGATGACTACAAAAGTCCATTGTATTTAAAACAACCGTCAAATGCGGTCTTTAACCTTGTCTCTTTTAAATTAATGCAATGATGATTGTCTAGAAAAATGGAAAAAATGAGAAATTACTTGCAAAACTGATATATTCTTTTTCTTAAATGATATTGATTTCCAGAACCATGTTAATTTACTGACCTATATATTGCCCTTTGAAACTTGATATAGTTGACCATCACCTAGTCAAAATGTAAACAAGGAAAATACCTGAAGTTGGCATCATGAGGCTTATAATGTAGTTCTGTGATACACATTTGACACTTTTAACTCTTTCTACATTATCAGTCACTTCTTTGTCTTTCCTTGGTTTTGTTATGTGATACACATTTGACACCTTGGTTTTATTATGAGAAAGATAGATCAATAAAAGGAAGGTTCAATTGGGAGGATTGGAATCTTAGACGTCTTGAACTGTAACGTGAATGTTAGTGCTACTACATGGATTCTATGCAGTTTGTGATTACAAAATACACGACACTTGTATAAAACATATGACATGTAGTCAAAAGCTGATGTCAAGGGACATGGATGGTCAAGTGTCTGCCACGTGTCTGTATGGTCAACACATGTTTAAGTGTTGACAAATGTCAAAACACGCTAGCCAAAGTCAAGGTGTCTAGGTAACACTGGGGCGGGGCAGACCTGGGGTGCATCCTGGGAGTGTCCTTGAAACTGCCAGTCCAAAGTTTTTTGGTAGAGATGTAGCTTGTAGAGTACTAAAAATCAGGATCATGCTCATTTAGATACTTGGCAGAAAGGTTACTGAGATACTTGGCCGAAAGGTTAATGTGGTGGTGCAATCAGCAGTGTTGTTTTCCTCTCTCCATGTGTGCTGAAATGCAATATGCAGTGGTCTTCTGAGTTGGACAATATCTTCAAAAGCATGCTTGAAAGACCATGGGCCCCAATTCATAAAATTCTTTGAATCACCCTCCACCACAGAGGATTATCCCCACGAAATGATGAATAGCTTGAGACCCTCCAGAGGAGCCATAGCGTCTGGAACAGTCGCCACAGTGTTGCCGACTGTACCATTGAATGACCAGATAATAGAAGATGCAGTATTCTTAAAACCCCCTCACTATTCCAGCCTTGCCAAAGGAGCACCCATCAAAGGAACGTTATTCTTGTTGTCATTGCATAATATTCATGAAACTTTCTTTTTTTGATAATAGACTGCTCTGAGAAGAGTGAAGTGTACATCAAATTATACTCAAGGTTTTCATACAAACAAAGACATGTACAACAAAAGCAGGAGGGGAGAGAAGAGTCCAAGGACTTGTCAGAAAATAGAAGATAAAAAGGAGAAAAGAGAAGGGAATAAAGGAAAAGGCAAGGGGATAGGGGCAATAAAATTTAAGGGGAACAAGGAAAGGAATAAATGGTGCAGGGGCACAACCATAGACCCTTGACACTCAAGATATATACAGGCTGTCTCCTTGGCAAGCCTCTCTGCTAGCTTATTTTTGCCTCTCTATAAGTGTGCTGAAATTGCATTCAATGGAGCTATGATGGAAATGGGCTTCCTCCATTGTATGTGCAAGATGTGAAGGTTAACACCTTCCTAATGCCCATTGAATGACAATAAGTGAGACACCCTCTATAATAAAGAGATTCCGCGTTGTGTAGCCCAATCAGTGGTGCATGTGCCTCAGCTGTCGATGCATCACAATTCCTAATGGGGCCAGAAAGTATTGAAAATACACCATGAATCGACCCGAAGAGCACTCCTCCCACTCCAGCAGACTAGAATTCCTCATGTAGCGATCATCAAAATTGTGCTTAGTGGATCCAAACAGTGGAGGAGATGGTAGGACCATGGCCTTGGTCTTCACTTTGAGCTAAGAACTGTTGCACACACTATTCTACAAGGAATCTTGGATGCTGGCTTCCTGAAATTAAGGGGGTGGTAGTGCTCAATAGATGACTCTATATCTGATACTCTCATAGATGATAACAATGAAGTATCATGTGCTCTAACAATGTCATGCTGTTCGTGTCCTTCCAAAAGCTCTAAAGATAGTGGACATGCACAATGTCCACAGTCGGTGACCTTAGCAGCAAGTAAAGAGTTCCTCAACTGAAGAACCTACCTGATCCCGAATGAATCCAAGAAGAAACCTCGTACAACAAGTATAGGATCAATGTCACGAGAAATGATTCTGCATGTCCTCAGCATTCCAGCATGGGTAGCACATGTTGCGAAACTGGGCCCTTGATGGTGCCAGTATCACCAGAGGGTCTTTGTCAATTGCCAACTTCCCAGAAGCTAGGCTCTTTGTGGGTCAGGTGGACAAAATCTGGTGACCTGGGTGCATCTCAGTATTTGAAGGAATGAATGAAATGATCTCACTGAAAGTGCTCCACCTCCATCATGGGCCCTAACAATTTTCTCACAAGCACAGGGAGATGGTAGGGTGAAAATATAGTCAAGGCCCAACACAAACTACTCACAAAAAGGCACTTGATTGGTTGACTCGACAGTCCTAATATTTTCTCCAAAGCGGAGGAGACTGTATACTACCCTCTCACCTTTTTGCCACGCATAAACAGTCCCAAACTAAAACACTAGGGTTAGGTGCTAATCTCCCTAATTCTTCCCTTGGAATACCCAACCCACAAGTGGAGGCCTAGTGGGTTTAAAGGGGTAAGTAATTTTAGAGGAGAGGCTCAACATTGCAGCCAAGAAGATTTGCCCTATCATTAAGAACTCTCTGAAGCCCCATCATGCTTGATGGAGCTTTTGTATTTTTTTGTTTGTGTTAATTACTTCTGTAAAAGTTTATTCTTTGACTAGCGACATCCTCAAATGTCATCTCGGGATAGAAGTGCATCATTGAAGATTGTTGCGAAGGCAAACTGGAGGTGAGAGATCACTCAGGGGAGGTCAAAAGGACTGCAAATAATCCACCACCAGCTGCCCTCTTTGCAATGAGCGCACATACTTCCACCGTGAGAGTCAAGAGGAAAGGAGAGAGAAGGCTCCTTGACATAGTTGACATGAGCTCCTAAAGAAACCGTTTAAGGTACCTTTAATTAATAAGGGAAGGAATATGATTTCTACCTTAATCTGTTTCCTCGCATGACATTAATCCTCTTCTGTTTATAAATTTCTCTGGGAATCCTAGTCCACTCTATATAAAATTCAGGTTAACCTTGACCACAGCTCCTGGGTGTTTCTCCTTGTGCTTAGCAGCCTCAGTGCATTCATCTCCGATGAGGGCTCTATCCAACATTTATTTGTTAGATACATGTAATGTTTCCTTGTAGTTCCGCATATCGGGGGCATTTTTGACACTCACTGTTTTATTTAGTTATCCACGCACAGCCAATTAAAGCATGGATGGCATTATGGATTGCTTAGCTTTCCTTCTAGGGCCATGGACTGAGTGGGTAATTAGAAGCTTGAGTGGAGGGCTCAGCCCCCCAAATTTTATTATATGAATTCATCAAGCGAGCCGGTACTATTTTCTTGTTTGTTTCTTATTCTTTTTTGCCTCTGATGATGACCGCCATTTGTGCAAATGCCAAGCATACGGTAATTTTATGCCCTTCGGAAATCCACGGTCATGTCTGTCATCACTGTCCCATTGGTCTTTGGATGACAATCTGAGAGTGGGACCCATCATTTGGAATATTTCATGTTTTGGAAGGTCCCCATTTGCTCTTCATTACCATTTACTGATTGATTGGATGGTGAAGACCTGTAAGAAATGGGTTTACTTATACTTTCCTAGCGCCCAAAATAGTTGAAAAAGTTCAGTGATTCATCCAATGTCTGTGATCCTTGAATATAAGTGTTTGCTAGTTTGTTCTGTTTGCAGGTATCGAAGATGGCTTCTGAGGCTAAGCGCGAAAGAGATGCTTTAGGTAAAGAGGTGACCAAAATTACTAATTACGGGATTCCCATTTGATGCTCGGCTGTTTGCATTGCCAATAATAATTGTTATTTGAGGTATGTTTCTTTCTCTGTCTCACTCACTCGTGCGTGCACGCATACACACACACACTAACGGCATATAGTGGTTGAAATTCGGGGATATTTAATTCTGAAAATTGTATTAGCAATGATATCATATGCGTTACCCTTGTTCATTGTCAATATTTGTCAGATTCATTACTGTGATCCATGGCCACTGTGATAAATGTTAGCACCCTCCAATCAATGGATAGATGGTGATTGAGAGGAGAGCTCTCAATGCAGAGGGAGGGGGGAGAGGGGGAGAATTGAATATTGCACGACAGTGGTCCTATTTCTCTCAAAGCAAAAATGGACCACTGGGTCATTATCTCTTCCCCGACAAAAGAATTATTCCCAAACCATAATGTACTTCCACTTCTCTCCATTTTCAAACGGAAACGGTTTCTATGAGCCCCGGACTCATATGTAGAACTGCGGACCCCCTTATATTCCATTTTTGAAATAATGTTTGACCCTATTTTTAAGGAATATACAATCCCTAGCATGGAGATCATTAATGTGCAAAAAAAGAAAAAAATAAAAAAGAATTAAAACTAAAAATGATATTTTTTAGAAGGAAAAATTTGAATTGTTGATTTTACTTTTTTTTTTTTTTGGAGGGACCATCATTTACATCCATTCATAGATGGATGGTTTATCCCTCGGGGGATGCAAATGTAGAGATGCGTTCCCCAACACATAAACCATCTCCAAAGCAAACGGGTTGGTTTATTGGAAATTATGTGTTGTGCCAGCAATTTAAGAGAGCTACTTAATCTGAAAAGAAAATTGGTATTTGGTCTTTTTGGTTATTGGCAACTGGTGAGGGTAACTAGGGTTCCAACAACTTTATATCTTGGAGTAGGGTTGTGAACAGGTCAGGTCGGGTTCAAATAATAGATTAAGTATATGTACCAGGTCAGGTCGAGTCTAGACTAGGACGCAGCTTTGGGCCTAGAGGGTGGGTCCAGACCAAGAGCCTGCTTGGGTCAGGATTACCACCCAAGGAGCACCATTTATTTATTTATTTTTTGTTTTTTTGGAGCCCACTAGTTTACGGTTCACTCTTTCATATCTCAGCTACCCAAAATTATTCTCCAAGAAATTAGAAAATTTTACCCCAAGGTTTGTTCATGTTCCTACCAATGGCAGGGGCCCTCTCCCCATTGGCTCACCCAAAAAAACTGAAAAAAAAATAGCAAAGTGGTCCTCCCAAATCCTCTAACGTAAACCATCTTCTTTGCTCAGTGGCTAGGGCAATGCACTCAACACAACTTCCAAAGCTCAAATTCAGAAATTTATTAATGTAGGAAATTTGAAGAAAACAGTAGAATCGGCAAGCTTTAGGCCATGGACAAGCAAGAAATTGAAGAAGCTAGAGTTTCTCTTCAAACCCTACCTTGGGCTTCAAAAGCGGAGAAGCATTTTTTCCTCTTATCTTTGAAAAAGCTAATTCAATCCCTAAAAAACTTAAAAGATGCTAAAAGTAAACCCTAAAATTACAATTAAAATATATATCTTTTAAAATTAAATAAAAATAAAAATGAAAATAATTTCATCCCATATCAGTCTCATTTGGTTGAAGGAAACTTGTCTTTGAATTTTGAAGTGTGTTAAGATGAATTCAACATCAAAACCACCTTTCAACCTTCTTCTTTGTTAGCTTAAAAATTATTTGTTGCATGTAAAATCCTCATAAAATGGATCATGTATGTATATTGAGGAACTGATACAAATTTATTAAATTTTCCTATCCCTGAACTTGGATTGAAAATTGTGTAGAAAGCTTCAAACTCAAAGGCTTTCTTGATCTATTTCATTATTCTATGAATCTAGGGCCACAATTTGTGGTCTCTATATTGGCCACACTTCTGGTGTGTTATTTTGATTCTAATACCCTAAATTTTTTGAATGTTCCTCCTCTTCGATATCTTTGAGATCTTCAATCGAACCTTGTCATAGATTGGATATCCTAGAGATCTTGTTTTTCATCTGAGCCTATATCCATCCAACAAATCTCAATCTACAACCTACTTATTTTGGTATAAATGTCCACCTTCAAATCAAAAACAAACCTTGAGTGATGTCCTCTACATCTGGGCTTTTTATCTCTTTCCTATTCACTCGACTCTTCATGCAGAGCATGAGAAGAAAAAGGTTACACTTGACATCATCTTGGGTGGAAAGATTATTGTCTGACCCATGAGTATGTCTGCAAGTTGTTGGGTAAGCAGTTGACCACGTCTCTTTAGGTTTTCAATCGTCTCATCTCTAAGATCACAAAGGGTTTGCGAAAGTCATTGTTCCATAGCCCCTTCTCACTGTCATGGGTTTATCAAAATTACAAACATTTGGTAGAGAATCGACAAAACCTAGCTCAAATCAACAAGATCTAGGGTGGATTTGGTAAACCTTGGGCTGAGATCGACAAGATTTTGTTTGTAGCTTCTTGGTCTTGTTGTCGAAAATTTGAAGAAGTAAAATCATGTACAAGCAACCAATAGAAGAAGCTTCTTCAAACCCTACCTTGGGCTTCAAAAGCCAAGAAGCTTTTTTACTCTTCTCTTTGAAAAACCTTGTGAATTTGTAAAAACTTAAAAATCCTAAAGGTAAATCTTAAAATTTAAAATGATAATATACATCCAAATAAATACTAAAAAATGATAATGACATCATCACATAAATGATTTCTAATTTCAACGAGATGCTTACTTTCCGTACCTAAAAGACCTCCATATTTTTTTTTAAGAAGCAAGTGTTACACCATTGAACCAGAATAGACCACTCCTAGTCTTAAAAGCAATAGCCGATGTTTGAAAAATCACCGATTTGATTCAAAATTCGTGGAGATCCAAATATAGGATATTCTTAAAGCTATAACTGCTGAAATCCGCCATGGTTATCGGGAGGCTAATGCTGAAGCTGATTGTCTTGCAAAAGGAGTACACCAATCTTCGTTGGTGATTGTTTCCTTCCAACGATCTTGTCGGTATCTTGTAATTCGTTTTCTTTTAATGGAAATTCTTTGGTAATGTTAAGAAAAAGAAAAAGAGATCTTGGGTGACTCTAGATAAAAAAATCATTGGAATCGCGCAGGTCTGATGGGGCCCAAGGGATGGGCTATTATGGATGAAGACCATGAATTGACCTTTTTTGTTAAATTTCTTTGTAAGCCCAGTCCTATTCGGTCTGCTTTCGACGACGAGAACAAGTGTATCGGATTTTTTAGACCGTCATAATAACTACTAGATTGTACTCTGAAGCCCTCTAAAGCCTCATGGGTTTCGGATTCATTCCTAACACTACTACTACATGCCCTAGATTAGCTCCCTTATTTTTCTCCAAGGAAAAGACACTGCCCTAAAAGCACCAAAAGTCTAGACCGAGGGGTGGGGGGCTGAGTTGCATTTGGGTCCGGCTGGACCGAAGTCACCAGACCCGGACTCAGACCCAAAAATATAATGGAGTGGGACCCAGATCTGGCCTCACCCAAGTGAGTCTCTCTTTCTATATATGAGTGGCTCCCTTATTTCTCTCTGAGGAATAGGAATTGCCCTAAAAGTACCAAAAGAGGAAAGAAACCCCATCTCATCCCCCTCTCTCTCTCTCTCTCTCTCTCTCTCTCTCTCTACTACTACTACGTACGTACGTACGTACGTACGTACGACGACGGACGCGTACGACACTAACTAACTAAACTAACTAACCTACCCTACCTACCTACGACGTACGTACGTTACGTTACGTTACGTTACGTTAC